TCAAGTGTTTGGCTGCTCAGGAGTAGGACGAATCCCACTAACTGCTGCTTATTTACTGACCTGGTGTTTAAGACCCCCTGGAGTTTGTTTGAAAAGTTAAGAGATTTTCACAGTAAAGGTGCCATTTCTGAAATTTAAAGTGCTCTTTTCACCAGGAGATAAGTTCACTCTGATTAAGTCAGTAATTCTTACTAAGCCATGTTTATGGAGGCTATAAACAATGGGTTCAGGGCGCTTGTTAAACCAGGTTTCCATACCGCTCCACTCTTTAAAAACTGACATTTAAAATAAAAGGCAGGTGGAGATGCTAGTTCGGCACACTGTATTTTATTATGGATTAATGATGACTACTAGGAATCCAGTTAAAAGGGGGGAGCCTTCTTTTTGTGTGCAAATGACCTCAACCTTCGTTATAGACTTTTGAATCAACACAGTCTCAAAGTTTATAAGTAAATTAGATGTGTGAACTCCACTGTCCACAATGAATCGATAAATTTTCTAAGATACAATGAGTGTATTGCACAAAGTACATATCCCACTTTCATAGGTGGGAGCTTATCCTGCCGCTCTGTAGATGTCATTTGTAAAATACTTAACCAACCTGCTCCATTCCTTTTGGTATGCAGCACTTTATTTCAGGTATTTTGTCCAGCTAATCAAGAGGCTGTGATAAATTGAATATGATTATTTGTGGCTTATAAATAGAGAGAAACAGTGACAGCATGTATAAATTGTAGCTGTGGAAAACGGCTTGGATGGAGTTACAGCTCATGGAAATTAGTGTATTATATAGGTGTATTCAATATGAAAAGCAAACCTAGAAGCTGGTGAATTGTAAGCGTGTAAGAACCTAGAAGCTGACTCTTTATTTTGCTCATGGGACTGATAGATACTTGCTCAAACTAGTCACAAGTATTGTGAATGGAAGGACTCTCCTTTGCAGTGAAATCACTGTCTTAATAAACATTGAGCTTTTTCCAGAGAAGTTGCATCCTTTGCTTCCATAGGGCCATAGCACACTGGAGCTTAGTGCGAGCCTTGCTTTGAGTGACAAAGGTAATGCTGGGCCTTATGTGGAGGTGAATCAGACTGACAAGCATGTACAATCCTTGCGTCCACATCTGCTTTCTTGGGTGGCAATTACAGTAGTAGAATCTGCCAAAGCCTGAGATGAACCTGAGCTTTAGATAGATATCAAGTCCTGCCAAGACTGTGCATGTTTATGGCATGCACAGTTTGGAGATCCACATCATTTTGCTGATAGATGATGAATCTGCATCTGCCCCAGTTACAAAAGCTTTCACTAGCAAGTTCCCCTGCCTGTATGCCTAGGTCACCACTGGTCCTGCAGCAGGAATCCAGGGGAGGTTTCAAGCCTTCTGTCTTGTCCTTCTGGCACTTGGTTTTGACAAGCTTCTGGCTTTGGTTAAGCACATTGCTAAAGACCTTTTTGTTGAAGCTTTCAAGAGTCCTTTGAGTATAAGTGAGATTTTTAATTTTCTGAAACAGGAAGGAGCAAATCAGTTTGTCTGCAGCTTCCTGACTCCCAAAAGAAGCAAGACTCCTGGGTTACTTTAGAGTTTATCAGATGCATGCCAACTAAATGACCTTTTGGTTTCTGAGGGTGGGGAGGGAAGTACCTTGCTTTTCATGAAGTACTTGTGTTTCTTTTGTGAGGAAAGCAGTAAATGGAATATCCTTCCTTTAAAATCGGACACAGTACTTGGGCAGGACCTCATGTTAAATGCCTTAGATAGTCTGCTCCTTTAAGAAGGCCCATTTAAGTAGCAAAGTCACTTCATTAGTTTTCAGAAAAACTAAGGGAAGTATTTTAACAAAAGAGATGCCCCTGGCTAGGTTTTATGCATAAGACAAACTTGTTCCTAGCACATGAAGCTTAAGCAGACAGTGGGAGATTTTTAAATTTGTGACAGGGAATACAGCAGCCATTACTTCTATTTATCATTAAATATTGGAATTAATAGTGAACATTTATGCTGTTGTTTCTGAAATATTGGCTTCAAAGTACAGACTTGGCTATTTAATAATTAGCTTGGCATTTTTGTCTTTTAATTCAGCATCTGTCCTGGAAATCAGTGGACTTTTGATGCCCAAAACTTTTAAAAGTTCAAGCTACTCATGTAGCAGCCCCTCTTGCACTGATGTGTGTTAAACATCTGTTCTGGCTGCGTTGTGACACCATGCTTATATTGAGCCGAAGCACTGGCTTAAGACCTGAATCTCCATTGTTTGAGGGGCAAAGATTAAAAGGGCTTCCTTAAACAGTTTTTAAGAGTAGCCAGCTTGTTTATTTAGGAGACTGGCACACTTCTAGGAAGATAATATTTTGCTTACTATTTAATGGAAAATCTCCCTGACCATACTTTGTAGTTCCAGTTTGGATTTTTTTTTCTAATATGACTGTGCATTTGATGCTAACGACTTTGACTAATACCCAGGCATTGTCCTTCTTGGAGCTGATCCAGTCAGCACATGCCAGAGCCCCAGCACCTGATGCATCTCCCTCGTGTTAAAACGATCAAATGTGCCAAATTCTGTGCTTTGATGCCCTCTGGGGTGATGCTATGAAACCTCTTCTGTATCTGAACCCAGTGAGCAGTGTCTGGAGGAGAGGCTTCATGTCTAATTTTTCAGCCACTGCAGAGCCAGTTTCTGAACTCTTGATTGTTTTAATGTTGAGGAGCAGCCACAGGTAATCACATTTTTTCCCCCGTGTGGTTCTTCTGCGTCTCCTTGGACTTGGCTTTTGTTGCTGGCCCTCAACTGAGAGCTGTCACCATGTGATGAGCACACTGTTTTCTGGTTTGCAGTGTTCAAGTACAACTTCCCAACAACTTGCTGGGCCCTGCTCTCTGGAGTTATGCAAAGTGACTCCTTGTTCATTTTGAACAGGCTCTTCTGCTCCTTTCTGACTTCTTCCCTTTCTCTTTTTCCAGCTACTTTCTTTCATACGTCCTTACTTTTTTGGCTGAATTTGTGCCAGCATAGTCTGGTGACTCTGTCAAAGTCATTAGTGCATCCCAAGTGTCAGTGTGAGTCATCTTGCTCTGGAAGCATTTAAAATGTGATGTTTTTGCAGAAGATCAAATGATCTTGGATTCCTGCTTCATAGGAAGCCCCTCTTTCCTCCCCCTCCCTTCCTGGTACTGCAGACATTTGGTGAGGGTGGCTCGACTTTCCTAGAGGGAAGAATTTTCATTACGGTGGAGATTCAGCTGTCTGAGTATCTTGGTGGATCTGCTTGGACCATTCCCTTGGTTCTGTGTCTGTTGGTAAACCACAGATGGAAAAACCAGATCAGAGTAAAGCTCTACTGTATAAATAGATAAATATGGTACTTTGGCACCAATAACTGAATCTAAAAGTAATAGGTGGACACAACTCCCACGTTGTGTGGAAAAAGTGGTTAGGAGCAAATATTTCAATTCAGTTCTTGGGGCCATCAGCAGTTCAGTTAATGCTGATTGAGAGGAAATGGGATCTGGCATCCTTCTCTTCTCTGGATTTGGACCACAGGGTGCCCTCAGGTACTTAAGTGGCCCAAGGTACCAGTGGCTATTATTTTTCCAAAGAGGCCGTGCCTTTCTTCTATTATGCATCCTTGTGCCATTGTAAGAAACATAAACACTCAGACTAGATTAGCAGACAGGGCTTTCACCCAGGGAGTGGGAACTGTGTCAGACTTATTCCAACTTTCCGTCGAGAGGAGGGGATGTGCGGTGGGGCTTACTCTGTAGAGGTTTTTTGCCCTTTGTAGAAACAAACATGAAAAGATTTTTTGTTCCAGGAAAAACATTCCACTTGTTCTCCCTCTTCCTTTGTGGTGGTTCTCTCCCATGTTTGTTTCCCCCGTTCCTTTTTACTGAAAGCAATTCAGAAGGAGCAAGGAGGGAGTCCTTTTGTTCGTCCCTATTTGGCCCAGACAACCTGGAGTTTTTAGCTTGATTCCATAACCCATACAGCTTGCTTCCCTCTGGATCAGTCTTCAAAGTGAAAACCTAATATTTTTCCTCAAAGTTTCAAATAGTCTAGCGATGAGAGAATCCCCAAACAGCTCTGTTTGGTAGCATGCTTACTTCCCACTTCCTTGGAAAACAGACTTGGCAAAATGCAAGTTAGACTATTACATGAAATGGTTTTGCCATACAGAGACTGGCAGAAGAGTGGAGGAGCAGTTTGCTCTTAGAAACTCGTGCTACATAAAGAAGGATGGTTATTTGGAGCGGTGGGAGGATCCCACGCATGCTCGCGAGGTCAGTGTCTCTGAAATCTGTGTTCTGTAATGTCTGTAGTGGTTTGGAAATCTCACAAGTTTCCAGGCGAGTCTTCAGACTTCATTTCACTTGTATTTGCTAATGATGCTAGAAGTTTGGACAGCTGATTTTTCCTACTCTGAGAATTAAGGAAAGAGTTTAGCTTTCCTTTCCCTCACCTTTATCCCTAGTATTTACAGTTTTACTCAAAGTTCACCTTATCTGTGAATGCAGCAGTGGTTGAGATGGAAGGGCAAAGCCAGATCCTACCTTAGCCTAAACACCAGTTTTTTGTAACTAAAAGAACTACCCTTCTCTTCTATCGAGACTCAGCGTAGACTCTGTTAAGATTTACTGATTTTTGAGTCTCAGTGGAGCTAACACTTGTGCTTAGAAATAGGAGTGCATGGAGTAAAATATGTATTGGAGGTGCTTGAAGTGTCTTTTGCTTGCATGATCTAAAGCAGGGGCTCTGTGACTTCTTCAGCAATTGCAGTATACAATGTGGTAAGACGTGTCCTTCTGCAGATTGAGCCTTTCATCTTGAGAAATTATTTTTATAAAGAGGGAAAACACAATAAATGGTGGGGCAGAGAGAAACCACTAGCTTCTTTAAATGTATGTGGGAAATGGCATGGTGCAAGGATGCCATGTGTTGTGACATGTTTTTAGGGATATGGTTTGACCTCACCCCCCCACCCTTTTACTGACTTTTCTATTTTCTAGAATGTTAGAAATATGGTCCTGGAAGATGTTGTGATTCTTAATGTTGACACCAACACACTGGAAACCCCTTTTGATGATCTTCAGAGTCTTCCCAATGATGTGGTATGTATGTATAAAGCAGATATTTTCAAACAGTTTGTTTGCTTGCTTGTTTTGTTTTTTTTTACCTATTATATTACCTAACAAGTGTGACTGCCTGTGCCAGAGCCCTGCATGCTAGGTGAAATGCTTCCTTTATTCTTCTGCTGTTTCTGAAGAGTGTTTGACCATTTCTGAAGGGCCTGGAGCTCAGGTGAACATCTGGATCCTGCAAGCTTGGGCTGCTTTTTGTGTAGTCCAGAAATGAAAGGGAAGCAAGATTGATGACAGTCAGGTTGGGAACTCCTGCCTTGGCTTTGCGCCAAATCTCCAGCTCATTTACTAGTTTCCAAGTTCTCTGAAGATTACAAAGTCTTGCCTGAAGAAGAGAGAACTTGTGCAAAATGTATGTGTGTCCTGTGAAATAAAGCAAAAAATAAATTAAAGCAGATTTTGGGGGGACATGAGGCCCCTGGGAAGGACAAACGAGATGCTGTTTTGCACACTGTAAAAAAGGAAGAGAGACCTAATAGCAAATGAAGCTGTCTCCAATGTTTCTTCCAGTCTGTGCTTCACATTTTACTTCTTGCCCTATATTTTCTTTAGTATCCTTCATTGTGGAGCCAGGCTGCCCACTTGATTGCTAAGACTGGTTTGTGCATATAGTTCTGAACTGTTGCTCATGTCTTGTGCAGTTTTGGCGCTTCAGTAATTCTCAAATATTCACTATATTTACAAATATTTTTAATTTTTTTTTAAATCAGTGTTCGTGTATAAATTGTTGAATGATGCTTTAATTTCCCCCTTTGAGCCACGTATGTGTCCAATTTGCATTACACTGTATCGACACCACCCGTTCCTGGAGTATTCTTCACTAATGAAGCTGAGAGAAGATAGAATTGGTAAAGTGTGTAGAGAAAGTGCACTAGAAGCCATCTCTAGGTCAGCCTGCATCTATTTTAGAGCAGATGGAAAAATCTGAATTACTCTTGCTACCCATGCTTAGATATTGAGTTGACTATAAGGATCTATAAAAGTAAAGGGCCCTTCATTTGAAGGCCTAATTAAAATCCTGCCTCAATGTACAGTTGAATATGAAATTGATATACAGGGAAATTAAAACAAGCTGCCTCTTTTGTGGGTTGAGGGAAGAAACTCAAGTATAGATTTTCTTTTTGTGGCTGTTGAATATTACCTGCAATAAGATAATGCTCTGCTCTCCATTGTCTTGTCACGCACCTGTTTGAGGCATAATTGTCATTGCTTAGTGCACATAGAGCAGGCCAATGTTGCAGTTCACAGGTAAGTAGGAGTTTGCCACGTTGAGGGCTCTTTTTCCATGGTACCTGCTTGGAGCCTATTGTTAAACTTCTTCAAACTGGAAATGGAAAGGGAGCACTTTTGTGCTTCAGCCACAGGAGAATCCTGGATTTTGTGAGGTGCTTCTGCCTATTTACAAAGCTTGCAGGCATGCAGACAGAGAACCACCATCATGCTTGCCAGGTTGTCTGGCTTTACCGTGGTGTAATATCTTGCTGTGTCCTTGTTCGTGGTGGAGGGGCACATTCTTTGCAGCAGGTGAAATTGGTTTTCTGCTGTGATTTTTCTGCAGGCTAACCATGGCCTGGCACTCTCTTTTGTAAGAGGGCAAGCATGATTTCATTTTTATAGCAGGACCGACTCGAGTATCTAAGTGCACTCTGCTGCTTGATGATGAATAAATGCCCTACTTCTGGATACCTTCTCTTCCAGCACACGCATGTCACCTAAAGCACTCCTTCTACGGGCTTAGATCCTCAGATTTAAATACAAATATGTTAACTAGTCTGGCTGTTATGGTAAACCTTTAAATTATATACTATGATGAAGATCTTTCATCTAGGCTAGATAGATAACTTCCTACATGGCAAATGCCTGATTTTTTTTTTTTTTTTTTCTTCTCAGTACTGAAATAGCGAGACTTCAAGCCATGACACTTTGGCGACTATAAAGAAGCATTGCTTGAAGTCTTAATGCGCGGTGAGCATCGAGTTGGCAGCTTTGTCTAGATAGTTTGTAGTTCTGGTGCAGTGTACGGACCGTGCACATATGCTGCACGAACATGACACAGCTGTCCCAGCAAGTGGGTTTCTCAAGGACTGAAGGAGCCTGGGGAAGGTCAGCCAGGGCCCAACTCCACAGATCAGCGGTGTACTTTAAGCATTCCTCTTAAGAGCTATGTGGAAGAGATCACTTGCGTTCTCCCTCCATATTCATTTCACTCCCAGGAGCTTCCTTTTGTGACTGCCAACTAGTTACAGAGGTGTCGGTCTCTGATGTGGTTGTCTGTTAGGACTGGGACTAACCCCAGAACCCATTTCACAGGAGCCACCACTAGTCAAGAGGCTGGGAATGGCTTTGATCATGGTCTGTATCCATGAAGCAGAGCTGAAGGGGTGGAGTTCAGAACAGCGATTGCCTGAATCACTTTAAAGTTGCTCTCTAGAAGGAAACGGAAGCGTAACTGAAAACATCTGTCCTTGCCCTGCAGGATTCCTTGCCTGTAGCCTTGCAGATCATGGGGCGTTACCAGAGAGAAACACATACAAACGTCTAAAATTGCCAAATATGAAGTGACACACTTCCCTCACCTCTGCCCCTGAAGTGTTTCCATTCCTGTGCTGGGAAAAGTCCAGTGCATCATCATGGATTAATATAAGTTACTTTGCATTTTCATAGTTTGCATAAGGACAATGATTTCCAGCTACCATGGCTTGGAAAGAACGTTTGCTTGTTGGAAAGTGGCTACGCCCTTTTGGCAGTAGTCAGACGTTTGCAAGCTTCCCATTTGCTGCCATGGGGAATTCGTGCATACATACTGCCTCCCACTGCAACGTCCTTTCACCGCTCAGGGGCCTGCAGCATGAGTCAGTTCACTGCGTGTAGTCACGTACGCCGCAGCATGTAGGCAGGGAGCAGTGAGTGATGCATGAAAGGTCCATCTTGATGGGAGACTCCCTGGCTTTTTGGCAGCCTTTCTGTTCATAACTTTTACTTCAATGCTGGGGTGTTTGGTTTTTGGGTTTGTTTGTTTTTAACTAATTCTTCCTTCTAATTTCACTCTTTTCACCCAAATCTGTCAGCTGATCATCACTCCTGCCATTATTCACAATCCTGGAAATGACAGACTTGTAAATTTTATAGAATTATGTAAGAAAGGTCTGGATACAGCGAGTCCTGGGCCTCAAACACACATATGATTTGTCAACAATCAAGTATTATATTAGATTTTATGGGACCTCATTAAAGGAGCTATTGCAGGAGCACTGTAGAACATCAGAAGAGACTTCACCAATAAACCCAAAACTTCAAGCTTTGGAATGTCATAAATTTTAAGAGACTTCCTTCCTTTCATTATTTACTTTTACTTCACTTTTATAACAGTAAAGAGTTGTGTTTTATTAGTTTAAATTTCTTGATTCAGTTTTCTGCAGGTCTATTTAAAAGCTACATTTTATCTTAGAGGATGTTTGGAGCATTGCAGGGGAAGTGCTGCCAGCAAATTCAATTAACTGGCATGGCTCACAAATCGTGTACATGGTGTATTTTTTTTTCACAACTGCTATATAAACACAGCTGGGATTAATATTTGTTGTAACAAAGACTTAACTTGAATCATTTTGCTTTGTGTAATTAATGTTTGGAATCAATGTTTCTGTCTTATTCCTCATTTGTATTCCTCCTTGCTTCATTATTTTAGTTACCTAGATAATGAAGGGTTCTCCTCTAGGTCTTTTCCTTTCCTTTAAAACTGTTTAATATTTGGCTTTGACCACTAGAGAGCAGCTGCTTTTCTTTGCAAGAATTGAATTTCTGTCAGTTCTTTCATGCATCATGTGTTTGGAACTGTAAGTGGATCAAGTTGTTCATCACAGCAGGGGAACTGTGAAGCTGATCTATTATACGCAGTTTCTTCTGGGGTGGGGGAAAGGAAAGGAAGATGGGGAGAATCTAGGAAGTCTGCATTTCCACTGGACTTGCTCTACATGGATGCATTTGTGATCTGCTGAGGGTTGAGTCAGACTATGTTAGCTGAGAAACTGAAAATGTCTGTAATAGTGCCACAGTCTTGAATGGTTGTTAAGACAAACCATGCTCTCAGTATTGCTTGCTAATGTAAACACTGAGCACTTCATTAGCTCCTGAATATACACAAAATTTACTTTGCTGAATTAAATCCATTTACAGTCAGCAGTGATGAGTAACATTTACTTTCATGCATTCACCGGCAGGCAATTGATGCAATAGAAAATTTTAATAGTATGCTTGTTTCTCTGAACAGCCCTTTATGCTACATTAAGGGATCTTTTTTATTATTGCTATTTTTAAAAGTGCTGTGACTTTCCTAGACTTGGGCTGTGAATCATACTTGGGTTTCATGGTAGTGACATTGCTACCCAAGATGTTGTCTTTTAAGGGCCCAGGGCAAGTTAGTCGCTCCTGGTATCTGAGTGAAAATGGACATGATGAAATATCTTTCTGCTTAACGTGCATGCCAGAGAGGCTGGATAACCCCCTGAGCCTGGTCCAGCAGAATTGGATTAGACGCTAAACATGGCACTTCGCTCTGGCTTGACTGGACGGTACCTCTTAGCACTCGAACTTCTTGAATCGCCCAGCTCAGGTCTTTTACAAATAAGTTGCAAATGGCTACATTAGTAGGCAGATAGTTGAAATGCTGGGATCTGCTCCTGCCTTGCCTTCTGTTTGTTATCCTTGCATGTTGCTGATGGCATAACCATGACAGAGAGCACTTGGGCAGCTATACTCCTTTTTCGTTTGGCAGTAATAAGAAAGGAGCTTTACTTAGAACTGCAATTTACCTTTCAGTTGCATCTGCTCCTGGCAAGTTTCCTATATCCCTTTTCTGTGTACAAGGAGGAGGGAGGAGAGATCAGTAATTTTTTCTGCTTGTGTGTATTTGGTACAGGCCCTATAGATTTATTGTCAAATCCTTACAAATAGGCTAATCTTGGAGCTGAAGC